AAACAGCACCCTCATTTCTTGCTTCCTAATACCATAGTTTGAAATTTATTCGGATTTGCCATTAAGCCATTCTCTCTAAACCAGTTGACCATAACAGTTAATTCATTATCGAGTCTCCTATTAAGTGCTACTTGGTCAGTGTCGGAGCTGTATAACTGCCGCTCACCAGCATAAGCATTAAGATAAACATGCATTAAACAAGGCCCCTGTAACAGGAGGGCATTTTGTATGCGTATGCGTCAATATGGGCTGTTGAAGTGCCACAGAGGCATTTTTCTGTGAATTGTTTACGTTCAGTACCAGCATTTGCAGGCCGTTTTCTGGAGCTGAATGACGTGTATTGGGTGCTACATTCCACAAACAAGTTCTTTAAGGTATCGAGGTATTTCTACGATGAAAGTGAGTTTATTTTAGCCTCGCTGTCGCCCTTGAGAGGACAGTCTTTCCTTTCGTAAAACAGTACATCGAAGACAAGATGGCGGCTGAATATTCTTACTACCTAACATTTCGCGCACATTTTTTGAGCAGGAGGAAAAGGTCAGTATGATAGTTTGTCGTTAAACAATTATCCTATAGATACTTAATTCTTCTCAATAGTAGAACTCTAAAATCGAACTTAATCTTTTCAGGAATACAGTGGTTAAATAAGTGCCCATTCTGCCGTGAAACTGTTTTTCACCCTTCCTATAGGCTTGTTTATCTCGAAATCTTGCCTTTCTACCCAGATTAAGTTAATGATTAATGAAACTAAGAATACTTCCGCTAATGAATGGCGCTTTGATGAAGGCTGTGAAAAATCGCCTTCTGCAGTAATTTTAGCTTTCTTCTCCGGTACGTCTTCGTTGAGAAATAAAATACACGCCCTTCAACTTAAAATTTAAATCAGTATAATGAAGGCAGTAAGATTGTGTTTAGAAAATAAGAATATTTTCTCATTTAGTTATACAAAGGAAAAAAATTACAGCAATCGGTTTGAATTCTGATTTTTTCCACCTTATTTTGATGGTACACTGTTTGTTTACATTTCATTATGCAAATAAATATAACATTTTGGCGCTTTAAAGAAAATCTAGCCTAACTCCCCAACCCCAAAATAGCACGAAATGAAACGTTTAACGTTTTAAGTCAATCCTGGCTTCTGTTGCAAAAAAATCGCATTTATTCCTAAATGATATATTTTGTGGATACTGCATTTGTTGATATGCTAATTTGTGAGACATTTCATTCACGAAGGATGTTGACTGAGACCAGCTTCTCCTTTGTATTGAACCTCATTCTTGTTTAACGTATCCGTTTCTGCTTGATAATTTTTCCATGATATACACCTTACATAAGAGGTTCATCTGGATACAGTAAAAAGCTCTCAACAGAAAGATTAATAACAGACAAATTCATCCATCCATTTGTGTCATGTTTGTTGTCGCATCCCAGCTCATTTGGGTCCTTTAGCAGAAGTATTTATTTTTTGAGGAAACAGCATTATATGCACCCCTTTAACAAACTTCCTGTCTTATGTTTAAACAGGCTTTGAAGGTGAAAAACATCGTCAGTTAGATTTATGGAGTGATGGCCATTCTCTGTTTTGAATAGATTACTACTTTCATCAAATATATATTAATAACAAGAAATCGATTGTGGGAGACAGGAGCTGTTACTCCAGAGTCGCTTCAAAATAGTAGCTTAGGAAAAATCTCTGTACCTTTTAGAGTTAAAGAAAAATAAAAGTACTGTTCGTTTTTTCGGAGTATGTGCATTCGTTTTGTTTGCAACTGAGCTTATGAAATGCTCAAGTGATTATGTACTTGTAATTGTTGCTTCAAACTCAATCCATTGTTCACTTCCTATAGGAGAATATTTTTTATAAATTTGTCCCCGAAAACTTTCAAAAAACTGTTAAAACCCCATAGATTTCAAGTTTTGTGGCATATATAAACGCGTGTCTCCGCGATCAGTTTAACATGAGACATTGCGCTAATAAATAAACCTCGCGTGGTAAATGTTTTTTTGGATTTTTGTCTTAAAGCAGCTGAACATTGCTACGATGAATTTGCTCCCTAAATAAAACCACGAGTTTGGAAATCAAACCATGGAAATGTATTGCTTTGCCAGTGAAAATCAGACTTATACAGGACCATGACTTTTGGCGTTGAGTCTTGTCTTTAAAGGCCAAGAAAACCTACTGCCGAAAAATCTACAAGTGAAAACGCGCGTAGAAAACGTCCGATTTTTGTCATGGAGAATATTTTTTGTAGGAAAGTACGGTATTCAAAGCACCAACGAAATGGCTTTTAAAAGGACTGTAACTTTACACGCGAGTTCTCGATTTCCCGCCATCAGATTTGATGCGCCTACGCTATTGTCGTTCAGCGGATTCACGCATGCGCATGCAAAATGCCCTCCTGTTGGCCCCAGTATATGATTAGGTCCCCACCAGAGTCATGAAGGATTGTCTACCGCACATCGTGCCGGCCATCACACCTCTCATTAACTCCTCAGTGAAACCAGATTCGTGGAAAGGAAATAAATATATAGGCAACTACTGATAAAACGTGGAGCAAAGATGTGTGTAATTCGGTCAGATTATGGGGCAAAAGTTGGCGCGAGGATTTATTGTTTTGGTAGCAAAGGCAGTTGCACAATTAGTTAGGATTTTCATCTGGAATTTTATTATTATTACTTAAACAATTGAATGCAGTTCGCCAACTTAATCCTGAACCACAATTATACCAATCTTTTTTTCCACAAGGACTAACAAAAAAAAGCCCACACCAACAATAATATTAAAATCATCAGAGTTTGTTGTTTCACGATATGGTTCCCTTGGGTGTAGATGGTATTTACGTAAAATAGAGAAGGGAGGAGAGAAGCAAGGCTGGCGCAGTGCTAAGAGAACCCCTTCCGCCAATGTGGCCTGGGTTCAAATCCCGGAGTCGACGACATTAATTTGGTTGAGTTGGTTGTCGGCTCTCTCCTCCCTCCCCCTAAAAACCAACAATTCGAAATTCCAATTCGACGGGGAATGGTAGACGAAGAACCACTTTGGGGATGTGCTTCCTCTAAATCGTTATTCATTTATTTATTGAAATAGACTACATGGCGAGACAAACTCTGACACTGATTATAGTATCTTCCACAATAGTAAGCATAACATTTCTCTGGAAAATCACAAACAGAGCATTGAATCGTTGTTTATTGAGTATCCTAGCCTTGAGTGAAAGCGAGAATGAGGGTCACATCACACTATTACAAATGTAAATACATAATCTTAAGCGTAAAAATGACACTGAGTATTTTTTAAAAACAAAGCCATAATTCGCCTTGCTTTCATTCAAAAAGGAGGTTACTAGGCATACAACCATAAAACTACAAGCAAGCTAAAATCTTAACCCTTCCGATTGGACACTATTTAAACCAACAAGAATAGTTTCTAGAATAGTAAGAACAGAAGAAAAGTAGGAGAATTTTCATTGATATGCTGCACCTCTATGGCACACGCGGGGAATACTTAGGTATGGGCGAAAATAATTTCCGCGTATGCAAAGAAGTGCAGTATAACGGGGTTTTCGTCGCTGAGGGGAGGAGGGGGGGCAAAAACGCAAGTATATATGCCCTCCCGGGGCATGAACTCATAGAAAAGCGATCTGAAAAGTGATCCTGATGTTGGCAAAACATTTAAATACCACGCTCAATACCCAGGGGTAATGCAAGGGTCCCAGGAGGGAAAACGTGCTAAATTATGGGGCCCGCGTGCCCATTTCGGAGCAAACATATCAATGAAAATAGTATAAATAAATCCCTTACTGTTGACTGATTTTTCACCAGTTAATCCAGGCTTGACCACCTTTCAGTTTACTAATAAGCCACGTGTCTAATCCCTATTAACCTGGTACTCAATACATTACCATGTGCTTATGTGTATTAAAATAAATATAGATATTTGTTTTCGCTAGGAGATCACTGCCAAGTCACAACATACATCTTTCGGTCGCTTATTTTATCATCGCGCACTTTCTGATGTGAGGTTTCTCTCATTCGTTGCTTTACTAAAAATCTATTAAATAAAGCGTGTTATTTACTTTAAACTACTTTTAGAACAGATGAGCCGGGAAAAAATTTTCCTTCCTTGACTAATCTTTTCAAAAACATCCGTAATGAACCAATTTTAATAAAGCAGACAGTGGGAACATATTGTCATGCAAAAACAAAGACAACCCAACAAGAAATACAATTTATCAACGTACATTGAACTCAGACAGTGCTGATTTTCACTTAAAAGCCCAATTTAGTAATTGGTAAGGCACCTGGGGATAAGGTATGTTATCACTAAGAAATGAGTCTCAATCCATAGGTAACACTTAGGATATAGTCAAGCTACTAAAGGATGGGAAATTCTTTGACAGTATACATTGCTTTTGTTTGCTGTCAACTAGCTGTCCACTATGTTCTAACCTATGGCCAAATTCACTTTACTTTGAAATAACAAAGTCGAAAATTATTACAAATCCAAGCCTTCTTTCGCATGTTTTTAGCTTAGAATTTCAGTAGCGTCATAATGTACAGGGAATTCATGTTTTGGATGAAAAACCTAGTTTAAAATTAAAGTGGCCAAGAACGAGCCTGTCTTTGAAGTGCCAATTTGAAATACTGCAACCAATAATGTTTCACCTCTTTATTCGTTAATTTTATAGTAATAAGCTTATAACATTTCAATGTTAAGGCATAAATTGTTAGAAGAATATGTATGCACTTTAAAATGTCTTAAAATGTAGGTGCTCTTGATAGTTTTGTGCTCCAGTTATATGAAAACTTTTCTTAGATCATTGCTTTCCTCAGAATTCTGTTCATTATTTTCGCTTCACCTTCATTTAACGGAATAAACTTTTTTTTTCTTTTTTTCAATACGGAAAAATGAATAGCCACTCATTTATTATTAAAGTCTGTCTTTTACGCAAATTCATAAAGTCTGCACGGGTATTTTACATTCCTTCCTCTGCGGTAAACGGTAATCCGTTTTTGTTTTTCATGCACAGCTACAGACGGCAAGGTGAGTTTAACTATACAATGTAGTTGAGTGTTGTCTTGTGTATAAAAGGAATCATTCTCTTTTACTTGTTTACCTTTTTCAGTATCATGATACCAATACATCAAGGAATCACACACCATCCAATTGGCAATGAATCTCTTTGGTCTCGATTTTAAAGCTGTCAATAAAGAAACAAATCGGTGTCGAAGTAAACTGGATTTTGTTTTTTGTAGAAAATTACTCGAAAGTACAGAGCAGAATAAAATGCTCTTTATTATTACAAACAAGGAACACTTCAGGACATCTTTTTATCTCATCATATGTTCAAATGATTTAAATGAACTTTGTCTTTATTCACTCTTCAAGAACGTTCAATTCAACCTTACTAAAACAGCACTTTAAAAGAAATGAATATTGCTTGGTTCGAAAATGCGCTCTTACTGTATAAGGTTACGGCCATGAGCAAATTAATTATTAATCCGTAGCGTTACAGTCTTATGATAAATGTTATCAATTTTCCTTCCTAAACGAATCAACATTATTGCGTGAAATGAAATTTAGGGCGATTGATTATTTTGGCAATGAAACTTTCCTAAACGTAAATCGAAGGGTAGGATAGCTGCCAAAAATGATCATACATGCGCATTCTGTGGCAACATGCTTTTTTAATTTAAAAATTAGTGACAGAAATATTAGAATAATATTATAATTGTGCGCCGGTAAAAAGAACGTAAATCTGACCTACGGCCCTTTGCGTTTTACAGGGAGAAAAAAGATTCTGCACTTTGCTCTACAAACTGAATAAAAATAATGTAATGGTTTTTTCGTGCTACCTCAGTTGAATCCCGATACAATGCAAGTGGCAATTGTGGTAAAATGTTGTCAAACATGACGAGACGAAAACTATATTTTTTTCCGGTCCATGATTTGTCAAAACTGAACCTTGAGCAGAAAGAAAAAATAAAACAGACGCAAAAACATGTCAGTGCAATTGAGTAATCATCTTATATTTGTTGTCGCTTTTAATAACGTGTCATCTTGGAGGCTTTGCCATCTTTGGTGCTAAATCGCTTACAAGTTCGCCTCGTTCTGTAATAATTAAAAATGAGCATTCGTACGGATAAAAATTAAAATTTGACTTAGCACAAGATTAACACGGCTTCATGGCTGTTTGACGAGAGCTTCGAGATCATTGCATCATTACACTGACAAAAACTGAGGTAAACACTGCGCTCATTTCACAAAATTTGGGCAGGATACTTAGAAAATACTGGATTGAATATGAGTGACTGATTTTAGTAATTGGTTTTCTATGGCCACCATAATTTTCCCTACAGTAAAAGTTTATCACACTAGCAAATGTCTGTTTTAATAGAATCATAAGACGTAAACATCAAACGTCGGTTTTGCAACCACTGTCTCGTTTCATTGGAATGGGCGCAGCCTTCGTCGAAGGATTTAGAAGTTAGAAGTACATTACGTGTCGCTGTAACTGAATCTGAAAGCACACGAGTTAATTGGGAAAAAATGTATCATAGCAAGACGTCAAGTTATTACCTCTGTTAACTCTAGGAAAGCTGGTTTGTGTTTCTTACGGATTTTGTTAAGGGGGCTGTGTCACGAAATTTATCAAATTCATACGGTGGGAACTACCGCCAAATCGAGTGAAATATAAAAATAACAGCTTAAAACGTCAATAGAAGGTATAAATAACACAGCAGATACAAAAGAAAGAACGAATGGATAAAAGTTCTAAGAAGATTAAACCGGATTACAATTAGGGTTTTTGAAAACTTGTTAGCCTAACAGTTTTCAAAGTTCATTTTTGTTGTTTGTAACGTCTCATATTATGCTTGGGAGACATATTTGTTTGACAAGTAGTTTTCAATTTATCATTTGCCACGAATATCTTCGCTTGTGTTAAGTTCCATTACAAATAAGGACGAGAATTGGGTAAAATGTACAAAATGAATAACACAGCCGAGACACAGGCCCTTCAACGTAAAGGGTTGAAAGGGACTCAAGCTTATATTTTCAAAAAATGAAAAGAAGCGATAACTGTGCTTTTTAGGATGCGTTTCTTTGGGAGAAAGCAATCCGTTTTAACCCTGTTCAGTTTTACGCATCCCTGTCACACTGTTCGACTCAACTACCGGTGTGTGATCTTTTTATAATAGTACGAGAATTTTGATTTAGGAGGCTTTAAACATTTCTGGAATATATTCCTCCAGTTGAAGACATCTGCCCTTCATTTCAGAGCAATGATGGCCATATTTGTTGGTTGTTCATACTTCCGCATTGTTGTGCTCCTACTTTTCAACACAGTGTGTGGACAATGGTAAGCACAAATGGACTATTTTTAATACTCAATACATAAAAGATGATAAGTCTTCTTTGCCTAGAGATTTAAAGCTTCTCAGAACGTTTTTAATCTCGAGACTGTGTATGCCATGTTAAACATTCTGAGAAAGCATGAAGTTTAAGGAGGGCGATTCAGTAAAATTGACGCAGATTTTTGCCCCAAGTATCCTGAAAAGTCTCATATCCTCATTTTCTACAGGTTCATCACGAATTCACAACAAAAATACCAACTCTCAGTTAGCTTAATTTAGCTCAGATAACAAGCACCTAATGGGTTCGAACCTGTTCAAGGCCGAGTTATTTTCAGGCTTTTTTTTGCAACAGCTTAAGTTCCTTACATAAATGGGATGATATTTCACGTGTTAAACAAGGTACCCTTGCGCATGGCTGGTGAAGAAAATTTCATTCTACAAAGCACGACCTAACAAAAACGGTTTTCAAAGTAGCATCTTTTAAGAAGGTTTAGATACCACAGTATTTTGAAAGTACACTGACAAAGTCGTGGTCGCATTAAAAACTCATTACTTGGCTCACTAATTTACAATGCATTTATCTCACCTTTCTTTACCTGCTGATATCTCGATCCTGTAATAAAATAATAATCTTCAATTTCCATTATAAACAGCTTACGCAAGCAAAACAGCAGCTCTACATCTGTATTAGCGAAGTTATTTTCTGATTATGATCAAGTCGTTCGTCCTGGATTTGAGGGTAAGTGTCTCAGTCTGCATATATCCTGTGGACCAAAAGTCCGGGCCTGAAAGCAGTTATTCAAATCAAAATCGAAAGAATATGAGCACCGATACTAGCTTACAAACCAGTCCATTATGTTTCGTTCACTGATACATGTAGTTTTATCATATTTTCTGCAAAACTATTCAAATCTCGATCTTCAATTTAAACAACAACAGCTTTCCGTGCCCGTTAATTATCGGGGTTTTGGATAAACGAGGCCTACAGAAAGAAAGGTTACGCCATACAAAATCGTCTTTGGTTTTTTCCGACATAATGCGCAGTTTTGAAATATTTGGAAGAATATTCCACGTCAAACGAAAGAAGATCTTCAAATATGTTTAGCAGGAGTTTCCTACCAGCGAGAACAACAATATATCCAAACAAGCAGTGTTCTTCGAATAAAAAATGACATAAACTAGAAAAACTGTCAAGGTAAACAAGCACCAGAACTACGGGGAACGATTGTCGCTTTTCTTCCCTATTTATCCTCAAAAACAAATAAATTCACTTTTACCTTGTGTCTGTACGCTATATACATGAGAATTCGCCATTTTCACATAGACCATAATGCATCTTGTTAACCCCCCAAATTTTATATAACAATTTTTTTCAATTTCTCCTGGGTATTACAGTCGTCCCAAGTGAAATCGAAGACAATGGTTATGCAACATTTTTTAAAGGGGTAAACAAGGTGCATTATGTGCTATGTGAAAATGGTGAATTATGGATTGAATAATTAGTATCTATGGAAATTTTTGTTTCCTATTTTGACGTCACATGGACATTCAGTTGTTGAAGTGTAGTGGCCTAGTGGTTAACATTTCGAATTTCGACTCATTTAGGTTCGATTTGAAGCCTTGCCGTCGCATTGCTTCCTTCGACAATGCAAGATTCTTTATTCAATTGTGTCTCTCTTTACTAAAGTGTATAAATGGAATAAAGTACGAACATTAACCACAAAGGACTGCAAAGGACCGCAAACGAATATACCGCAGAATGTACGATCTATTAAGACTTGATTAGCAAAAATAACAAGAGCAGCCTATGGCTACAATCCCGCTCTGTTTTGGGTTCTTTCAGTGTCGTGTTGATGTCTTGCAAAGTTAATTTTCACGTAGTACGATCAGCATTGCAGTGTTCTGCTTGCAGAAGTAAATATGTCTATTTGTATAAAAGGAAACTTGCACTGTTGACATACTGCTGGGTGTAGAATCTGTGATGGACTCGCGTGTCATCTAAGAGATGCTTCACGATACAAAATGAACCGGATTAAGCCCCTGCTATATGAACGCTATTAGCTCGTCTTGCCTTTTACTTTAATACGTGATTGATAACTGAACAGACACACGATAAGGTGGAATTTATCCGATTAATACTGTACATGTTCAATGAACCTTGTATTGTCTACTCTACTGCCGTTTTCAGCTATTCTGAACGATGCAGGTTCTTAAATCAAGGAGGAACTCTCACGATTTTACTTTAAATCTGTAGGTCAGGCAGTGGAGATTGTGACAGATCTTTACGTCGAATCCTTTGGAAATATACATGAAGCAAACATGGTAACTCCGAAAGGATCTTTTCATCATCATCATCGTAATCATCATCACCACTATTAATTAATTAGTTTATTTATTTTCAACTGTCACCTTTAATAAATGGTAACGATTTCTTGATTGTGAAGCGAAAAAACAGCAGCATAAAGCATTGAAGATATACTCTTAAAAACTAAATAAATAAATGTAGCGTGAGTCTGAGCAAAAACCACGGCACGATATTCCAGAAATGTAAAAATGTAAAATTGTATTTACGGTAGAACTAATAGGACCAACGAACAAGCAATTACTAACAGGCGGTCAAGGGCTCAACTTGACTATCAGTTCACCTCTACCAAATTTTCTCTGTTTATTGGTACCATTTCAAAACACTTACTACATCACTCTGGGTATTTTTTTATTGTCGCCAATTTCTCTTCTTTATTTAACTTTCAGGCTTGTCAAACCATTATTAACTGCCAGTTGTCCATAAAGAACGACCGGTTTATATACGTTTGAATGTAATCTATCTTTCTCCCTTACTTTAATAGGAGTTTAAGGTTTACGGATATTTGCGACAGCGATGGAAAGACGAAAGGCTTGCCGGGAAGCTTGAAAAAACATTGACCATAAAGGGAGAGAATATAAACCGAGTCTGGTTACCAGACCCTTTCTGCTACAACGCAAGAGACTCCAACTTGATGCTTCCAGATTCTGCAGTACACAGCAAAGTTTCAATTGCCCCGGATGGCAATATTTTATACACAAGAGGGTTGGATAAAAAAGTCATTACTATTTAAAACTTTTTGCACAGACTACTTCAGTCACAAATCAAAATTCCAATAAACTTATATTAAAGAAGCATCTTCGTAAAATGCTTGAAAGCTATCATTTCATTGAAAACAATTACAATAAGCAGACTCTAAAGCTTTTTTGGTAACAAAATGACTGTGGTATTTAGAAGGGTCAAGCAAATATAACAGGATATTTCATTTTTTATGGCGATCTATTATAACCTATCTACTTCGACATTGCATATCTCCAACACGCTATTTTACACTGTACGTACGTAGAAAGATTTAAGGTCCTGTAACTCACAAACGTTATCCACTCATGTATACCAGCGAAATTTGACACCAATTATTACAATGTCTATTGTTTGAATTTTTTTCAGGGTGACCTTTCTGGCTTCGTGTGGAATGGAACTTCATCATTTCCCGTTTGACTCCCAGGAATGTTTTCTTAAAATTGGAAGCTGTAAGCAACTTGTTTGAGTGGGATGTAGACTAACATAAGCACAGTTGTTCATTAAATATCGTAAACTGTCGGTTATACGCCCCGCCCCAACCACCTAATTTTAAGCCCCCCATCTGACTTGTATTGAAATGAATTCAGTTTATTATTAGCACTGCAGTGTTATGACTTGTGTCTAAGCGCTTAGTCTATTCCCGGTAAATGCCTGCTTGGATATAGGCCCTTCTAAATTCCCTTCTGAAGATGTATAAGCCCAGGGCTTATAAGCGCCAGTTTACGGTATTCCAACATGAGCAATGAACACATCATCGCGGTTTCTTTTTAAACAAACAACCTACAATTAAGTTGTATGGCAATGTCTCTATTGATTTAGTTTTAAACCAAGGGGGGGGGGGAGGTAAAATGATGTAACTTTAGAGAAGTCATTGACGCACACTCTAAGGATTAAAAAACGCAACAAAGTTGTTGCTCAATTGTCCAAGAACTACATTCTACCTATTACGTAATCTTCAAAATGGGTTGGATTAATAGGCCTTTCCATGGGCCATTTTCGAGTAATTAAAACTCATACTTGGCTGCGAGGCTGAGGAGAATCAATTAAACGAAATGAATTATTCATCCGTAAGTCTCAATGCAATTTCTTTTGTCAAAAATCCCTCAGCCTTGAAACAAAGTTAGCCGGTTCCTGTTCCAGAGATAGTAGGGTCCTCGAAATTGAGAAAACGCGATCAAGAAAATAAAACGAGAGGAAACTGGGAAGAGAAAGGGCGGCGGAGCCTGTAATCAGTTCTTTAAAAGGCTAGTTCCGGTATACTAGCTCCTGGTATACCCTCTGATTGGTCAGTGTGCATGAGTCATTATCTACCATTCGTAAGGCAACGAACGCGGATCACGTGTGTTATTTTGATGAATACAGGCTACAGCGTCTCCTACTGACTTGCGAGATTTTCGGGACTTAAATGATGTTAAAAAAGAGCAGAAAACTTGACTGTCTTCTGAGCTTGGCTCACGGACCTACATCATTTTAGTAGTATTTTTCAGCTCTTCCAACGCCTGGAAAAAGCCGTCGACATTTCATAGAAATCTACAATAGTAGTCCTTTCGCCGCTCATCTATGGATAATATGAGACCAAGCAGGCCAATAGAAAGAGCGTAGATTTTAGGTTTCAATCATTTGACTCTGTGAAGAAGTAGAGGAGGATACGAAGAAAGCGAGAGATGGCAAATGCTAGTTCAAAAGTATTTTATGCCAAATCCAAACCTTATTGAATGAAAACATACTCGTCCTACCACAAGCTAAATGGCCTGGAGGCCTGAAATTATCAACAAAGGTTTTGTCGGATGTTATCAAATTATCAGAAATAAAATCTCACTGAACATTTCGTAAAACGCGATAGCGCACAAGTTTTAATTGAATTTACTAGGAACGATGGATTGCGAGATTTGCAGAGGCTATTTTAAAACTGGAATTAGAACACATTTAAAATTTCGCACATTAACGGAGTTCGAGTAGCGCGAAAAACTCGCATAATATGAGCATAATTCTAGCAAATTAAAATTTTGACAGTTTGACAACCGAATCCGGACGTGACAAAAGTGGGCGGAAGAGGATTGTGGAAGAAGTGATCACAAACTCTCTGTCCCTTTCTTTTTCCCGTCATCGTCTCCCTTTGTCGAGATGACACGCTCATATTTTAACGTGGGTTTCATTTACGTGTCATCCCCGCTATATGAGTGCCAGGAACAGGCTAAAGCCAAGTATTAAATTGAATAATTCCAAGCTGAACTATTTGACACGGATTGAAAATTCAAGACCTGAGAAACGTTTGCGTTTTTGGCTTTCGTCAACCATAATCACGAACACCAACAACGAACCTTTAAAAGAAAAGGAACAAAGAGAATGAATAAGAATCTACCAATCACAACTTATGGGCAAGAAATTGCAATTTCGTCCGCTAAACTAGCGACAGGAGAGAAACACGACACCTGTAATTGCGCAGAGTTTGGGTGTTTATACCGAAAACTGCGGTGGCATATCAGTTAAGAGTTTAGAACACTAACTGCATAATAAAACGTTCCTCTACTTCCTTAGACGCCTATACAATTGAAGATATAATATACAAGTGGAAATACAATAACATAGAAGTGGGGGCAACTCGAACAGCGCAGTTTGACGTCTATAAAGGATCACTCTCGTCATCAGTGGACATCTATAAAACAGGTAGGGTTTTTCTAAAAGTTGGTAAAAGAAAAGGACTTTTATAAAGGTGTCAAGAGTTCACCGGAATCAAACGTTTTTCGATATGAAACGTGGAGAAGGATGTATACGATTGGTAATTCATACAAAAAGAATTCATTTTTCTCTTTTTAATTTTTTCTCCTTTAACTGACGGAACCGCCAAAGATGAAAGACGACTATTGATTTGTAAATTCGGACGGCCTACTAGCCCGAGTGCGATGATTACACTAAAAAAAGAATGAAATTTTATCTATTTAAAAAGCGGTATTGGGACTAAACGGTAATCAAGAGTCATTCGGTTTTCTAAACTGCGATGACAACAGAAAATCGATCAATTCAGGTTCTTGGAAAATTGTCCACCCACCCCTCATCACCCTCAAGCCAAAATTTTGCCTGAGTGAGGAGTACTGGTTAATGCCGACTTTAGGGAAGGGTAAGTGGGCAGTTTTCCGGAAACCAAAATTGATCTGGAAAAACTGTAAATTTCAGGTAACTTTTCAACAATAACAGTGACATATTTCCTCAAGCGACATATTGGCTACTACCTCATCCAAGTCTATTTCACTGACATTTTTGTTGTGGCGCTAAGCTGGATTGTTTTCTGGATGGACAAAAATGACATGGGCAACAGAATGGCTATTGGCATCACCACTATCTTAACTATAACGTTCCTACTTGGATCTCTCAACGGATTCATGCCACGAGTAAGCTACCCAAAGGCTTTAGACTGGTATTTACTGGTGTCGTTCACACTGACGTTCTTATCACTAGTGGAATGCATGATCGTGTTTGTTGTCTTCATGAGTGAAAACAAAGCACACGATGACCAGGTTTGCTTAATTGTTTTTTGTGTCTTTGTATTTCTTAGGCCCCGTCCATATGTATCTGTTTTTGTCAGAAAATGGAGATTTTTTATCCCTTTCCAAAAAAAAGAAACGCTTTCACACCTTGTGCTTTATAATCCTCTTTGCCCGTCCACACGAAAACCCAATAGCGACCGAAAATGGTACCCACCTTGATGGGAACATGCGCATTCACTGGCAACTGAGCCTGCAACGAAATATTTTTCAAAAACCTCTGTTTTCATTCACCTACACAAGCACAGGAAAACATCGTTTCCAAAACCTCCACACTGGAGGGCGTTTTTTTAAAATATGCGTTTTTGGAGACTGTTTACACTGGAAACGTGCGGATGGTGGGCCGAACCGGAGAAAAAAATCTCCATTTTCAAACAGAAATACGTGTAAACAGAAATACGTGTAGACGGTGGGATGTAAAGAAGAGGCAGTTAAACGGCCACAAAACGAACTTACACTGTGGCTACAAAAGTTGAAGAAAAAAGACTGCCGAAGTGTGAAAACTGCTCGTTTATAAGACTGTGTATCTCGACATGTGGCTAAAAAATTCTAAAGGGTCTTATTACAGCTTTTTCCCGAAATTATTCTTAAGCATTTTTTCGTTTTCTGTTCACTACAACGGAAAAAACATTTAAAGCAAATAAGCCGATTTCGAATTATTAAAATTTATACTTGGCTCCGAGGCGGCAGAAGGGCCATAAACAAAGGTGAAAAATCTCATTGAGATTCAGAAAAGAATAATCCATTCCTTTTGTTTTCTTTTAATTCGAAACTGGCCCAGTAAAAATACTATTAGAGCCACTGCAACATCAAAACACTCTTACGCAGAAGACATAAAATACTTTTAAAAAAGTATGAAATTATAAAGAAGACAAGAACTACAGTGTATGGGAAAAAATGTTGCTCATGATCAACAAGATCGGATGGTCTGATGCTTGTAAAAGCAGTTAAAGAGACAAATCTAAACTCTTTTAACAACTTTTAACGTTTTTCAATCTTTGAAAATGCCGTTGGATACAGTCGAAACGTCGAAGAATAACGTGACTTGCGATTAGCACCGATAAAAGCCTATGATTACCGTTCAAGAACATGGAGATTGGTTTAAATCATTTCCATATTTTTATCTTATCACAGAAAGGACAAGGCCGTGCTGATAGTTCATCAGCAACAGTTAAGGCGATGTTTCATGATGACCAGGCTGAAGTCCTCATCGAGCGAAGTGAAAGCAAACCGCGCCATGGTGTCAATTGTGTGAATCAGGGTTGTCAATCAAACACTGAAGGCGGCACCTGTGAGAAAACCGCGTTCCTGGTACCCAACCAACAGCAACAGAAAAGTAAAAGAGGTCGTGCTGACTTTATCGACAAGATTTCGCGGGGATTATTTCCACTCATCTTCTTCACTTTTAATATTGCTTACTGGTGCTTCTACTTGCTCATAGTCTAACCTAGTTTCCAGCCTGGTTTTATGTTGATTTCAAGGGACACGCCAATATTAAGCGCAGTACAAGGGACTGATAAAGACATTGAAAATAACGCCACAAACCAACCACGGCTTTCTTTAAATTTTAATGGCTGCGATCTGTGTTTGGCAAGACTTAATGTGAAAACTTCAACTTTGTCTATTATGTGCAAATTATTGGTAAAGACGACGAGTGTTTCAGAACTACAGAGAGTTTAAATTTACCAGGGTCTGCTATAATTTTATCTCCTTCGTTTTATTGCCTGAGTATTTGCTCTTCGTCTGAACTTTCTTGAATACTGTATTAGCAAGAGCCCAGGTGAACTAGCAACTGACGTCCATCTTCATTTTCTTTCGTTTGGTTTCTTGCCACTGATTTCTGCCTTTCTTGTTTAATTGGGTTAAATTCGATGTTATCAAAAATTTCGTAAAGATCTTTCAATCCCTGGGCCGCTGAATTAATTAGGGTCAGAGGCACGCAACGAAAGTTTTCAGTAAAATATCTGTTCGCAGAAGCAAATATTGCCAAGAATTTTCTATTACTTGAGTACGGCTATAAATGTCTAGATGATTGTTCCATTCATGTACAATTTCCGAAGGTCATCTAATAAATTACCTAAGATTTTCTCAAGTTTAATTTTTCACATTTTACTCCCCAGGTTAGGCTATTTTTCATAGAAAAAAGGCAACCTCAAATTTTCGGATTCAAAAATGCGACGGAAAGAGGAAGGAGAAAATTTCTCTCCTTCGTAACTCATTAAAATGCATCTAAAATCTTCGGAGAAATAATACTGAATCCCTCGTAATTTCGGAAAGACTCAAGTTCTCCTAAGATGACCGAACAGAAACAACAAGGCCGCTTGGAATGCATTTCAAGAGATCTTAAAGTACTCGGTTTTCAATGGCGGATTTATGACCTAACGCGACCAATTCCGCCATACAAAAAATTTCCAGTTTCTTGAAGAAACTTTTAAACTTTTTACGTAGGTCTTCATCGTCCAATAGTCTCATTTCACCTCCATCCCGTGATATTCAGTGCCACGCCAGCTCCCTAAGTTCATTAAACATCGAACTTTACAATTAATCACACTCATGCTTTTAAGCGTTAAGAGTTAATTAGCAATTAATGAATGAGGCTGAGTAGGATATGAAGAATTAAGCAGATCGAGGAGGGTGTTATCCACAGAGGCCGATAACACCCTTCGAGATCTACTTAATTCTTCATATCCTACGAAAGCCGAATTCATTAATTGCTTTATTATTCATTCAAAATAATTCCTAGTTTAAAAACATAGCTAAAACATGCTTACCTGCATCAAAGCTAAGTTAATGCTCCATAGTGTACGTTTAGGTTTGTCCAGCTCCGCAAATATTCTCCAAATAGCAGATGTCGCCCTCCGAGTTCTCTTCTTGCTGTTTTTGCTATGTTTTTAGCCATTATTTCGCCGAGTTCCAGCTGTAGTTCTTACTCTTGAAACGAGTGAAGTGTTCTCCATTTTAGTTTTCACAACGAAAACAACTCAACCTCGTCCCCAGGTCTTCTCTGTTAACGGTGCATTAACCTGTAGAAAGCTGTATTTTTGACGTCATTTCCTCATTAAACACAGAATTCTTCCAAATTTGGTCATCAGTAACTGGTTATGGTGAATTATGCGAGTGGTTTTGGCCAATCAGAATTGGGGAAATATTTTGAATGAATAATAGTATTATTTAATTTCTCCGCCTTATATCACTGCTTTATAACACGATTGGTGATCGCAGAAGATGAATCTAACTAATACTTCAACAAATTCTCCGCAACACTACTTCTATAGGATACGTACACGAATAGGGACAATAAATGATACCTACAATTTGGATAGTAGGGTTTAAATACTTAACCCTTTTGACAAATTATTATCAAACTCTTCGAGTAGTTTGGCGTTGTCTATGGGTGGCTCTCGTGTATCGTTTTAAATTCTCGAAGTGGCTTTGTTAGTGATCTGATTCGTATTAATCAAATAAGGCGCTCAACTTGTGACTACCGACAGATTAAAATGATGTTTCTTTTTGCTACAGAAACTGTACGGAAACAATGTTTAATGAAAACAATTAATAGCTATTATGCACGTAAACCTATAATGCAATAAAGTATCAAACAAGTAGGATGTGAGCTATTTCAAGCCAAAAAAATTATAAGAACTTAGTACTCTTGCGCATAACCCTATGATGAAACGAACTATCAAAAAGTAGGGTGAGAAATTCTATAGGATGAGAGCTTTTTGACGCCAAAGCAGAAATTATAAGAAGTGATATTCGCGCGTTCTAAAAAATCAAACAAAAGCACTTTACCGTCGCCAAAGAAAAGAATGAGGAATATAGCTGTTATTCTTGTTGAGAAGCAGAAAGTTTTCCTTCTTACCATTGTGGAAAAGGGAAAACAGAACAACGATTTTGCTTGATACAAGAGTCGACTGAAAAGGTGGTAATAAAACGTGCAACTTAGATAACTTACAAGCTTGCGAGGGATGTTACTCATAGTGGCCGTCGTGTTATTTCGTCTTCTTTGTGACAAGTGGTAAACTATATAACAGAAGTGAGGGCACCATGTCCCGTCACCTCTCGTTACTTTCAAGTGTGAGCCGGGTTTGTTAACCTTCGACAGGTACTTTTTCTTTTCAAATTTTAATGGCAAACCTACAGTTCTCTTTTTCAAAAGGTAAATTAAAGAGGTCGTATAAAGCAATTTTCCGTTACCCAATCTTGATGATGCTGAAAGGGATGGAGTTTACAACAGAGTTTTTCCCAGAAATACGGCACTTATAAAATGACGAGTTGCAGTACCTTTTATGGACTTCATTTGGCTAATTAGTCTCGACCATACCAGTGCTTTCAAAATCGTCAAGAGTGATAGAATAATATAATATAATTTTATTGCGATGAAAAGTGTATGAGTTTTTTTCGGCCATCTCACAATGACCAGCAGGCTAAATACACAAACGATTGACACTACTTTAAACTACTGATATTATTTTTTGAAGCAAAAACTTTTCTTGATTAGCTAATCAGTGTACAATATAATCTTAACTGCCTAACTTAACAATAGTACATACACATCTACAGAAAGAAGTAGACTGTTACAGAGCTTAGATTTCCTTCGACTCTTGTACCGTGAGAATGAGTAAAATCACTATCCTAAATCTGCCAGAGTGGTTATTTCATGGCGAGTTCCATTGTTTTGGGAGGAAACGGAACTAAATTTTTAACTGTGTACCTTCAAACAACTCTTCTTATTCTTGCTCATTCTTTTTTGCTACTGTAAACCCCCAACAAAATATTATCGTTGTTTAATTTTTTATCAGTGCGTTTGAGTTATCAATGATTAATAGGAACTGAGATAATCGTTTTGACGGGCAGAAAAACCCGTTTCTCGTACGGCACAACGTTAGTTGACAGGGAAATCGGAACAGGATGCATCGTTGTTATTCAAATCACAGTCACAATTCTGTCTTATCAATAGCCAATATGCAAACATTTACCATTATCGACATCAGAGCCGTTTTTGTGCGTTAAATAGAGAATTTGACTCATGGTAAAACAGATCTTTGTTAAACTTTTTTTCTATACTCCCTGTATACTGTATGTTCGCTTTGTAATGTCCTTGACATTGGTTGAAAGGAGTATGTTATTCCCGTCTAGTCTAATGCCCTATTTATGCTTTGTATGAACGTCACCAAGGAGATTATAACTAGCCTGCGTAGCGGGCGCTAGGAAATAAATGGGCGCAACAAAAAACGCGCGCGCGAGAAGGAGACACGCGAGGGGAAAATCGTTTCCCGCCCTCTATGCAATTACTTGGCAGCGCTGCATGATCTGTCAAATTTTTTGACAGAAAACTGATATCACTTCGCGCGTTGAAACGCAAATTTGCGGGAAATTCTACATGTCGGTCGATTCCGGCGGTGAATTGCAAGCAAAATCAAATCGCGGACCAAAACAAAAAGAGGAAAATCCAAATATTTTCTGTCGTCTATGCAAAAAATTTGCGAATAGTTTACGGGCCTTTGGTTACAAAGAAAACTGGATTTTCGTCTTACATGAATCTATTCAAGCCCTCCGCGAGGGAAAATGACTATGGTCGAGTGATAGCTCAAAGTCTCCATCAGATCGGGATATCTGTTGAGAAAATTGAAGGAGTGTCACAGGTTGTTTGCTCTCCGTGTGGAAGAAAGCTTTTAGAATTATGTGACACGTTTAGTTCTGTTTCGTTGGCACTTGCTGAAGTTTCTTGTGAAGGCGATGCCGGTGAAACGTTTAAACGAAAGATTGGAGCTGTTTTAACTCCGGGAAGAAGCCATGGAAATGCTAGCCGGAAACAGAAACGGGTGACTTCCCCGTTAAAGCAGACCGAAGGCCGCGTTCCTCGATCGAAAAAGACGCTTTTTGACAAAGGAAATCCTTCAGAGTCTGAGATCGCCGATTCTGTGCAAGCGGTTTCAACGGATGCCATGTTGTCGAAGTTAAACGTGGACGACTTGGACACGTCAAGTGGTTCCAAAATCAAAGTCGTAATTGCTTTTCCTTCCGGACACGTCCGCGCACAATCCACGTTTGATGGCGAAGTGCAGTCTGTAATCATGTATCTCGCTCTGGGTCGTTCGGGCCCAGCGATACGATACGTCTTGGTATTTCCATGTCTCCCGACATGGTCATTTCCATGCATCATAAAATGGGAGAAAATTTTGATCATAAGGTTTATCTTTGGAAGAAAACGATCGAAGAAAACCTGACATCAAGGAAATTAATCAAGGAGATTAAAGTGCGAAACATCTCAAACCATAGTTAATTGAGTGGAATGGTTATGAAACCCGTCAGACTCCTTTGTTATATGTTTTTGTGGACCTGAAAGTGCACAACGTTCAAAAGAATTCCTATCATTTTGATTGTATTGACCAATAAAAACGTTGCATTAATTTATTCCGTAACAATTTGCCAACAGAAAACAAAGGATTGTGCACTTTCAGGGTGCTTCCAACATAAACTGCAGCACTGTTGTTTTTATCATTGATGTTTGCCGCTTTTCATAACCAGTCTCCTCTAATAACTATGCTCAGAGACGCTAATTCATCTTTTTTGGTCTTGCCATGTTACATCCTCTTTTTGGAAAAGCGTAACCGACTGGCTTCGAAACGCTCTTCCGTTAATCGGCAAATACAACTTACTGAACATTACTGCACTTGGCTTGAGGCCGGCGCCTCATTCTTCAGAATGCTCGTGTCAGTTAAACTATTGTCTCCTGTTGGCGCGGTTTCATATTTGGCAAGTCAAAATGGATAAAATATCGCCTAATTTTGCAAATTTTCTACGCCTAGTAAACTCAAGATCTATTATAGAGAAAAAAGCAGGGGACACTAAAAAATGGAACTTTCTTACAGATTGCCCTTGTTATAGCTCTTGATATCGATTGTTTCCTTTCCCTGACGGTCAAATACCAAAAAATATTTTGAAACATTTGTAAATCTTGTATTTAACTAGATATATTTGACTGATTGTACACAATCAACGTTCGTTTATTGCTCCTGTCTTTTTTAGGTAGTCGAACTGTACTTTCTTTGAACCTTTTTTTTTTTGTTTTTCTTTGTGTTGTAGTTTAGTTATTATTATTATTATTAATAAAAAAAAAGAGTACAGTGAAGCGAATCCAAGATCTTCAAAGTGACGATATGGAGATCGACGTTAATCTGGAGGAAGTTAAGCTTAGTGAATACAAGTGGTACAGCCGTGAAAAGTACAAGAGGTCAATGAGTTTACTTGAAGCCGAAAGAAATTTCGAAGGGGTCTCTTTCACGGAACAGGATGTCCTAGAAAGGTGCATCAATAGGGCATTGAATAAGTTAAAGGAGGAAAAGTTGCCTCTGTACAGGTAAAAATTAGTACTTGACCATAAAGAAGCTATTAGCAAGAAAATACATTTTATTCAAAATAAAGAAATTTGTAAATAAAGAAATGAGCAACAAAATAAATTTGTTTTAACATTGCAAATGAAAAATTGGAATATTTTGTGATAACAAACATGATTGGTCTGCTGAACACTTATACAAACAATATTCATGTTTTCCTCTCGGTAACTTTTTTTCACCCTGTTCCATTTTGTACGTTAATCGTATTTTTTAGATACTGATGAAATACCAGGATTTTTCCCTTTACTAAAAAATCATATCTTCATCGTGCGCAGTGAAGATACTTTTTTTATCTTTCACGTGTGAGGATATTGGTGTCGCCATGGTTACTAACATGATTAGCCAATTACAATGAGAGCTTCCCGCTCAGGTGTGCGGCCAGTTCTTTTGAAATTTCATTCACAAAATGGCTTCGAGGTGCGAAGACGGTACACTTCCCGGTGACTTTCTCGATGAGCTGCCAAATTCTCACATCGATACTTCTTCCGAGCTTGAAGAACAATCAGGAAGATTTGCCGACGTCTCGGAAAGTGATATTGAAAAATTCATTGAGGGGAAGAAAATGAAAACACTAAAAAAAGACCTTCTACGACTTAAAATTAGTCAAAACGTTTCTGGTAGAAGAGCGCCACGAAATCAGAGAAATAGAGAAGTTTCCTCCAACTGAATTAGACAGCTACTTGAGCCAGTTTGTTTTAGCTGCAAGGACGAAGACTGGAAAAGATTATGAACCGTCATCTCTCCGAGGAATTTTGGCTAGTGTTGAACGCCATTTGAGTCGCTCCAGTTACGGCAAAACTATCTTCAAAAGACAGTGATTTCAAAAAACGAGACGCGTTGAAAGCGAAACAAAAGCAACTCAAGCGACATGGACTCGGAAGCAGACCAAAAGCCACAACGGCTCTTATGGACGACGAAATTGAGATTGATGCAGGTGGCGTATCAAGGGCATTTTTCCATCTGTTGATGGAAAGATTGAAACAAGGACCAGGTGGAGCTATCAATGTTTTTGAAGGACTACCAGGGCACCTAGTACCAATCCACAATTATGATGTTTTGTCAGGTGGTTTGTTCATCCTTGCAGGCAAAATGATTCCTCATGCCATCTTGAATGACTGCAATGGTGTCCCAGGAATTTCTCGAGCTGTAGTCTCATATATAAGCACTGGAAGTCGAGATTCAGCAGTGGAATATATTACTTTGGAAGACATTCCAGATCCAGATTTAAAAGAAAAACTCAGCCAGGTTTGTTTCATTTTAAAAATATTCATGGTTGCAAAAACATTCAGCTCTAGATTTTATAATAGATAGCAAGGTCATGTTGGGTGTCTAGGTTCATATTGTCTTTGGTGACTTCATTAGTCAAAACAAGGTGAACATAAAATAAGGTGCAATGTGTCATAGTTGGTGTCGGAAGAAGCAAGATGCCCATTAAGAGAATCCTATTACCGGTACTTGTATTCAAAGAACAGTCTTGCACACAGTAAACGAATGCCAGAATTTGTCTGTAATGTATCATTTTGCAACAAAGTCCAATTTTTACAATATTTGTAATACTTTTCATGCACTAAACTTTTAGTGCAGTTATGGTAATGTTTGATTATTTAATGTTTCTCTGTGAACAGCTTTTTCAATGCAAAAAAGAATTTTTGGCAGATTTCACCAATCCATCAAGCTCCATGAATATCTCAGAGCTGCTGACATCTGCTGGCTACCCTCATATAAGTGTAACAGAGGAGAGAAGACACCTAGCATATGAGTGCCTTTTGTTGTATGAAGTCATCACAAAGCGCATCCCTGCCTTAGATGACTTGAGGAAGGGACTGGCTTCTGTTAAAGTGTCACAAACAACACTCCTCGATTTACTTGGGAAACTTCCTGACGTTCAGCAACGTGTGTTTCCTCCACACACTGGCAAAATTGATATTATGATGCTCAAGTTACATTTGGAGTGGAGAGAAACTGCTGATCCTGTAAACCAAGCAGCTCAACAGTTTTTTCTCCAATATATAGATGAATTACATGAGAAAGGTGATCCTAACAGTATGACTATCTTTATACAATAACCTAATAACCCTGACACTTAGCTAAAATTGATGATGGTGATGATGATGGTTGTCATACTCAGTGATAACTGTATTGGGATTCTCTGTTGGTGTAAATGTTGATGGTTTTCTACAATGATACAGACTGTAGTTTAGTGATTTAGTGAAGAGGCTCATAACAAAGAAAAGTATGATTTACATGGGATCAAGGACTTGTAAAGAAAATTGATAATGTATTTACATGACAAACAAATTCCCCCAAAATTGGAAGGCAGTTAAATTATGAATACAGTGCACTTCCCTGGTTAGCTGGGTCACAAACAAGAAAATCTTACTGAAATTATTTGTTTCAACAACAGATGGTGCTGATAACAATGAAACATTAGAAGACATGGTACTATTTTGGACTGGATGTCCATCACTACCCCCAGATGTAACCACCAAGTTACTCGTGAAGTACCTTGAAAATCATCCCAGCAAAGTTTTGGCAGAGTCCAGCACTTGCACTCTGGAACTTTCTATCCCAGTAGTGCACAACGATTACAGTGTATTCAAGGATTACCTTAATAAGAGTATTTCATATGGCAAACTTGGTTTTGGCAAGATATAGGCATGAAAGGATGCTCCTTACTTACTGGTATATTAAGTTCAGTTAACAGTTGTGTTATTCTTGGACCCACAAACCATTTTTTCTGCATATTGCATAGGACATGAAGAACAGAACACATGAATCATAATCACTAAGGAATTAAATAAGAGAGTTTGATTGAATGAAAGGGCATAACTTGAGGTTTTAAGGAAAAAAATCTATGTAATTGTTACAATTACCCATGATTTTATGTTTACGGGAATGTCTTTGCTCCTTTGGTGCTAGAAATTTCTACTGCTCAAATTAATGCAAAATATCAATTTATTAATTTCCTAAGCTATGGTCAAGGAAAATGTGCCAGTGGACCCTTCATATAAAACAAGAAAATTTTCCATTCTATGTAGGTTACTTATAGTAGAAAATGTTCCATGTTCAAAGTTCAAGTTTCAAGTTACTCAGGAAATTGACTGTTTCGTTAACAGCATGACAAACTCAACAGTAACAATAAGAGCTTACAAGAGCTCATTGATAAGAGTATAAACTTCTCTGCAATAGCCATTATGCATGCAATGTTGCCACAGCTTTGAGTGACTGCAAATCAAGGCTAGATCTCAAGTTTAATAGTAAACAACTTATAGTAACTGTATTTAGAGTTCATATTCCATGAACATGAAGTCAATACTATAAATCATGAACAGCAGTTTAAATAAAAAGAAGCAATCTGCAATACCACTTGGTAGGCTATGATTCCATCATGATCACCAGTTTGGAAGACTGCATCTCTAGCTTCTTGCAGTGACAATTCCTGGTTATGTGTCAGAGTAGTAATTGTGTCAGGTACCGAAACTGCATAGTCACTCTGCACATCAGGTACAGGCCCTTCTTCATCGATCCCATAATGGTCAAAATTAACAGCCTCTCTGGCAGTCACATCTGTAACAACCTGATATCCAGAATTTCTGGAATTTAACATTCCTTGTATCCAGAGCTGATTGGGAGAGAAATTGCATTGTGTGCTTACAGGATGATTATTCCACTGACCGATAAATTGGTTGATTGCATTATTAATCAGTGGAATGTAGACAAGATGAAGACAAAACAGATGCACCTCGTCTGTTGGATCTAAAATTCCACTCTGCTCAAGGAAGAGGAAAATGTTCAAAAAGCGGCTCACAATAACCCTGTTGACATCACACCAGAGTCGCTCTATTCTTTGGTTATGAACGGATTTTCCAGTGATGTGGCTGCCTCTATTTAAACCTCTTTCTTGCAGCATGAAGCGAGCAACTTCTATGTTTTCCATCCCAAGATCACTGCGAACTCTTGATGGTAAATTGTAGTGCTCAACAGCTGACTGGAAATACTGCAGTACAGTTGAAGCCCTGTTATTGGTTGATGCATGTAGGAATACTATCATTCTTGAAAAACCATCTAAACCACCATGAATGACAATTCGGTATGGCTGGATTAGTTTGTGATTGCCATCAATGTGCCTGTTGGACACAACAGAGATTGTTACACTGCACTATCACATGTAGGTTTGGTTAAAATAGGTAAAAAAAGTTTAAAAATCTGCCTACATGAGTAATATTGGTAATGATAAATAATAATAATAATAATAATAATAATAACAACAACAACAACAACAACAAATAAAATAGTAATAATCATGACAACAACAAGAGGCATTTGTTGACCATGAATAACAGGTATGATAGTCAGGAATTTTCAGCATAATATCGGGGGAAGATGGGGGCTGGGAAGCTGGGTTAGGGTGACTAGTGAGGAGTCCAAATAGAATTGGGGGAGGTATTTCAAAGCATGAGATATATCAGAATTTGAATTGGCATTAATGCTCATGCATCAAAATTACAGCCTCGCCACTCTTGTATCACGGATTTAACACCAGTGTTGCTGCTGAGAGGGGAGGGAGGACTCTCATATAAAAAGAACAGGAGTGCTCGTCGGAAATTTTTAAAAGAACCCCTTAGAGGTACCAGGATCCTGATTTGTGTGCGTAGCTTGAAATGTTTTTCATCCCTAAGAGGTAACAATTCTGAAACAAAACATTATCTCCTAACTGGCATTTTTTTTTTGGCTCAATACCCTAAAAGATACTGCAAAAGCTCTCCCAATGGACCGTTTGAGGCTGAACACCCTGAGAGGTACCAAACCCGCATTTTAAACCCTAAAAAGTATGAAGAGAACCCCCCTCCTTTTTTAAATGGGAGTCCTCCTCTCCGGCGGGTGTTGCCCTTAGAGAAATAATAAAGTGCCTGACTGTTTTGAAAAGAGGGGTGGGTCTATTGTGAAAGGGGGCCTGTTAAACAAGGAGACCCCGTGAAACAGAGACTCGTTATAAAAGAGGTAATGTATTCTTTTACTTTACCATAACGCATTGGGGCATGGCACACTGTATACTCTACGAATTATCTGCTGTGCCGCTCTTAAAGTGCTAACAACCGGATCCACTCTTCGAATAGACTCCTGAATACGATGGCGCTGGATTCGTAAGCCTCTCTGCCTAAAGCCCCCTTCAACCAGGCATTGACCAGCGCTTGGTGTCACTTCAAGAATTTCCCTCACGTGCTCGTCTAGGTAATCGTTGGAAACATCACTGAAATCCTTCCCCACACCAACTGGCAACCCAAATTCAAATCTTCGACGGCGCAAAGTTCTCTCGGAGATTCCAAGAATTCTTCCGATATCAGCCCAATGAAAACTGGCGTCATCGTGCAGAGTTTGCAGCTGTTCCTGTAAGATCTGTAGCCTTGGTCTGCCAACTAAACCGTTCCTCGCCACAGCTGAAAGACGGTCGTCTAGGGACGCTGGTGTACTAAACGTAGAACGTTCCGAGTCCTCGACAATTCTGTCAAAGTCCCTTGAAAGTTCGTTCATAATAAAAACAAGTTCGTTTAGATCAGAGATCACCTCAACTTCATTTGGGAGGCTTCTTCTATTCTTAGAGCCAAAGTGACAAGAGTTCTTTCGTTTTCTAGCAAACGGCGACTAAAAAATTCAGCAGAGTCGTACAACGCAGTGTTCCTTTGCCCCTCTGCACTTTCCAGTAGCCTACCCAAAGACGTAAAAAATCCTTCGATGTTGGGCAACCAAATACGTGCACCCTGCATAATGCTTTTCAAACGTGTGTGGTTCACCTAATTATCTGTCTTTATTTCCGCCATATTGAAAGTGTTAGTTCCCGGGGCCTCTTCTTTTATGTGACTTCCGGTCATTTCTATTTCCGCTTCCTCATCTTTTAGTTTTATTGGAACATCTTTTAGTTACGTAATGTCACGCACGTATGAGCTTCGTCTAACGGACGTCCGGTCATTTCTATTTCAGCTTCCTCATCTTTTAGTTTTATTGAACATCTTTTAGTTGTATACGGTCAAGCTCGAATGATTCGGAAAAGCGATTTATGCTAAACAACATCGATGCATAGCATTGGAACTTGATGTACCCCGGTCGAAATTGATTTATGTTATTTTCCAATTTGTTTTATCACGGATAACAATAATGAATTTAACAAAACATTGATGTATTCACGTTCGAAATTTAGTCCGCAAAAAAGCCCCATACATAACAGACCACGTCTGTCGGAACAACCATATTATGAATTGGGAAGCAAGTGAAATAGTCGAGCAGGAAAGCGACAAGTTTAAGCGATGGATCAAGGAAAGCATATGTGTTAGATCGAACACTCCTACTATGAACAGGGACGAGAGAGCCTATCAGCTTTCTCCCATATGGACACAAGTGATGTCCACCCCCAAACCAGGGAGAGAGTGGGCGTCTACAGAGTGACTTTGCGCATTTATCGCAATAATTAACACCTTAAGAAGCCTATTTAAGGCTTCTGACACTTTTAATGTTTTCCAAGTTTTGATAAAGATGGCTGACAGTCATCGAAACTGTCCATTAAGACGTTAAGACTGGCTATGTTTTGAGAACATTTAAATCGATAACTCCAGTACCTGGCTGAAGGAATCTGGAATTAAACCGACGCAACTCGGCATTGTAACAACAAGCAAATCTCTCAACCATATAGGGACCCGAGAACTCGTCGGGTTGAGCAAAGACTTCATCGTTAACGGAACAGTCGCCAGAATCAATAATGTTCCCGAAAAAATTCGTCTTGGCATCCTGTTGTCAAGGCAACCAGGACATATCCAGTTGAATCCGCCGCTGGGAGATGAAAAGAAACACCTTGAAAGATGTCCTTTATGTACATCTTGAACCATACATTCTAACAAGATTCTGACTGTCAGTGTATAAGCGTACTCTGGTTGTTTTGGCCCTGTCAAAATAATTAATTAGGGGCACCCCCTTGCGTGGCATTGTCGTTTGGCACTCACATCAAGTTTCTTCTAGGTCATCTCTGGTTAAGCATCAGTTCGAAGGTCATTCGCGGTCCATCCTCGCTAGTTTTAGCATCGAAGCACGTTGCTCTTTGTTCTTATCCACCGCATCCTCTCTTTTAGCCATGGGTACCCGATCCACCCGCTCATCAAGCAAAAAATCCTCATCCTTCCTTCTACCGGAGGAAATCGACAACCTTTCAGCCTTGCTGGAAAATCCTGACCCGCTTTATAATCCCGATCCGCAAAATAAGGGAGCCATTCCTAAGAAGAAATCGACGAAGAAAACCAGTTCTTTGCACACCGACGATCCCTCCGCTTCCGTGGAAAATCTTATTCGCTTGGAAGTTTTGCAAAAGGAGAATTTGGCAACACAGCTACAAATTACAGAAACGAAACTAAAGTTGGCTTAGCTAAACGCGAACGTTTTGTCTCCAGCTTCTGATGCCGTGGCAGCCAGACCCCCATCTTCTTTGACGAAGCTTCGGTCGGCTATTGCGCCTAACGCATCTTCATCGCCAAGTGTACCATCTGAATTCGCAGAGATTCCCTCCCTTGACCAGCTCCGCTCAAGGAAAAAAGCCGGCGCTTCGCTGCCAAATAATTTCCTGTTCTCGCCTAAAGGTACGGTGGACTACGATAAATTAGAGTTAGCAGAGTTTGTGTGTGGCTACTTAGAATTCTGCAAGGAGCAGCCAGAGTCATCCAAAGCTCCGTTGCTAAAGCATTTGCATTTGTTAATGGAGCGCGCCATTACCGACTCTTGGTCCACCGTACGAAATTTCCACCTCTCCGTCAACAATGCCATCGAGCAAGGCCGTTTGTCCTGGCAGAGCTACGAAAGTATTCGAGAGCGAGCTCAGACCTTCTTTACACATCAGGATCTTCGCCCCAACCCTTCCAACGTCTTCGCGCAACGGTTCTATTCCTGCCCGCGGCAAAGCCAAAGATCTCCTTTGCAGAGAATGGAACTACACCGGTAAATGCAGTTGTGCCATTTCTGATGCTAGTTACAAAGCAGTCCATCGCTGTCGGGTTTGTGATTCTCGAGACCACGCCATGCTTACGTGCGCCAAGCGCAAATACCCAATCCCTGCATCGCCGTCAGCCTCCTCGTCAACTTCGTCCTCCACTGGTGCTGATCAGTCCTCCTGACTACGTTCTCTCGTTGTCCTGTCCAACGAGGTTAGAGCGTTTGGCTTGCCCAATTTCTTGGGCGCTAAGCGTTTGGTTCACTCGCATTTCAACGTTAATGTTTGGTCTCACTATTTAGAACATTATCAGGATCGAGTAATTATTGACTTTCTTCGCTATGGTTGGCCTATTAATTATCAATCAGACGTTCTGGCGTCTTCTTCGTTTCACAATAATCCTTCTGCTGTTAAGAACTCGTCATACTTGTCCTCTTACATTGCCAAGGAACTCTCCTATCAATCAGTGTTTGGTCCATTTTATTGTAACCCTTTCAACGAGGACTGCGTTATTTCTCCGTTACTCTAAGTACCAAAGCGTGACTCTGTCGAGCTACGTGTCGTTCACGATCTTAGTTTTCCTGAAGGTTTATCAGTAAATGACGGTATCAGTTCGGAACACTATCTGGATCAATTCTTCAAATTGCGTCTTCCCGGAATTGACCGTTTAGTCGAGTTTGTCAACGCCAAGGGTCGTGGTTGTCACGTCTTTAAAAAAGATCTACGGGAAGCTTATCGTCAAATCCCCATCGACCCGCAGGATTACCCTTTGTTAGGCTTGTACATTGATGGGTCTTTGTACTTTCACACTGCCCTGCCGTTTGGCCTGCGTTCAGCCACTATGATCTGTCAGCGTACCACAAAGAGCGTCGCTTACATTTTGAACACTGAAGGCATTTCCGTTGACGTTTACATCGACGACTTTTACGGCGCTGAATCCACTGATTCGTCTGAGCTCTCTTTTCAGCGGATGAACTCTTTGTTTGCAGAATTGGGATTGATGGACGCCCCTGAGAAAGACTCTCCACCATCTCAGGAAATGCTTTGTTTGGGCATTTGGATCAACACGTTAGACATGACTTTGTCCGTCCCTGTCTTCCGTGTTGAAGAATTACAACTCGAGCTTAACGCGTGGCTAACCAAATGTTTTTTTACCAAGCGCGAGCTTCAACAGCTCCATGGAAAACTGTCCTTCGTTTCCGCGTGCGTTCGGCCAGGCAGGGCCTTCATGAGTCGTCTCTTAAATGCTCTTCGTTCGTGCTCTTCGGCGCCTAGGCGAACAGTTCATCCAATCTCCGAGGATCTTCGCGCGGACATAAACTGGTGGCAGTANGCCGTGGCAGCCAGACCCCCATCTTCTTTGACGAAGCTTCGGTCGGCTATTGCGCCTAACGCATCTTCATCGCCAAGTCTACCATCTGAATTCGCAGAGATTCCCTCCCTTGACCAGCTCCGCTCAAGGAAAAAAGCCGGCGCTTCGCTGCCAAATAATTTCCTGTTCTCGCCTAAAGGTACGGTGGACTACGATAAATTAGAGTTAGCAGAGTTTGTGTGTGGCTACTTAGAATTCTGCAAGGAGCAGCCAGAGTCATCCAAAGCTCCGTTGCTAAAGCATTTGCATTTGTTAATGGAGCGCGCCATTACCGACTCTTGGTCCACCGTACGAAATTTCCACCTCTCCGTCAACAATGCCATCGAGCAAGGCCGTTTGTCCTGGCAGAGCTACGAAAGTATTCGAGAGCGAGCTCAGACCTTCTTTACACATCAGGATCTTCGCCCCAACCCTTCCAACGTCTTCGCGCAACGGTTCTATTCCTGCCCGCGGCAAAGCCAAAGATCTCCTTTGCAGAGAATGGAACTACACCGGTAAATGCAGTTGTGCCATTTCTGATGCTAGTTACAAAGCAGTCCACCGCTGTCGGGTTTGTGATTCTCCAGACCACGCCATGCTTACGTGCGTCAAGCGCAAATACCCAATCCCTGCATCGCCGTCAGCCTCCTCGTCAACTTCGTCCTCCACTGGTGCTGATCAGTCCTCCTGACTACGTTCTCTCGTTGTCCTGTCCAACGAGGTTAGAGCGTTTGGCTTGCCCAATTTCTTGGGCGCTAAGCGTTTGGTTCACTCGCATTTCAACGTTAATGTTTGGTCTCACTATTTAGAACATTATCAGGATCGAGTAATTATTGACTTTCTTCGCTATGGTTGGCCTATTAATTATCAATCAGACGTTCTGGCGTCTTCTTCGTTTCACAATAATCCTTCTGCTGTTAAGAACTCGTCATACTTGTCCTCTTACATTGCCAAGGAACTCTCCTATCAATCAGTGTTTGGTCCATTTTATTGTAACCCTTTCAACGAGGACTGCGTTATTTCTCCGTTACTCTAAGTACCAAAGCGTGACTCTGTCGAGCTACGTGTCGTTCACGATCTTAGTTTTCCTGAAGGTTTATCAGTAAATGACGGTATCAGTTCGGAACACTATCTGGATCAATTCTTCAAATTGCGTCTTCCCGGAATTGACCGTTTAGTCGAGTTTGTCAACGCCAAGGGTCGTGGTTGTCACGTCTTTAAAAAAGATCTACGGGGAGTTTATCGTCAAATCCCCATCGACCCGCAGGATTACCCTTTGTTAGGCTTGTACATTGATGGGTCTTTGTACTTTCACACTGCCCTGCCGTTTGGCCTGCGTTCAGCCACTATGATCTGTCAGCGTACCACAAAGAGCGTCGCTTACATTTTGAACACTGAAGGCATTTCCGTTGACGTTTACATCGACGACTTTTACGGCGCTGAATCCACTGATTCGTCTGAGCTCTCTTTTCAGCGGATGAACTCTTTGTTTGCAGAATTGGGATTGATGGACGCCCCTGAGAAAGACTCTCCACCATCTCAGGAAATGCTTTGTTTGGGCATTTGGATCAACACGTTAGACATGACTTTGTCCGTCTCTGTCTTCCGTGTTGAAGAATTACAACTCGAGCTTAACGCGAGGCTAACCAAATGTTTTTTTACCAAGCGCGAGCTTCAACAGCTCCATGGAAAACTGTCCTTCGTTTCCGCGTGCGTTCGGCCAGGCAGGGCCTTCATGAGTCGTCTCTTAAATGCTCTTCGTTCGTGCTCTTCGGCGCCTAGGCGAACAGTTCATCCAATCTCCGAGGATCTTCGCGCGGACATAAACTGGTGGCAGTACTTTCTCTCGCAGTATAATGGTGTTTCCGTAATTCCTTCTGATGTCATTGTCTCTAATCCCGAACTTTTTGCTACTGACGCGTGTCTCACCGGTTGCGGTGCGGTTTGTTTTGGTGAGTGTTTTCACAGAGAGTTTCCGGATTTCATTCTCACCCAAGAAAGGTACATTAACGAGTTGGAATTGCTCACCGTCGTCGTCTCAATCAAACTGTGGGCTCCCAAGCTACAGGGCCTTGGAGTCTAGCTTCTCTCCGATAATGCCACTTGCGTGTCAGTCATAAACTCTCAACACTCGCCTAATGTTTTCATGCAGCGCTGCTTGCGAGAACTCTGGTTGCTCCTCACCTTGTATAACATCACCCTCATTGTCCGTTCAGTTCGCGGGTGTGATAATTGGTTAGCTGATTCTCTCAGCAGATTTCACACTGGCAAGTATTGTCAACGTTTCAAGTCTCTTGCAGGAGCTCGATCTCTTACAGAGTGTACTGTGCCTGACAGTTTATTTATTTTCGCGCTAAAGTACCAGGCTCTGTTATCCGAGTTTATTGGTGCCTTTTGTTTTTTTTCAGAGAACGCTGCGCAGTTGTTGCATTACGCTAACAGCATTCAGTCCTTCGCTTTTCAAGAATCCACCAAGAGGAACATGAGAACACAATTGAACTCTTATCTTTTATTTTGTGATTACTGCGCCTTTGAGCCGTTTCCTGTTTCTAAACAGGCTTTTTTAGCTTATTTAGCCTTCCTCTCGAAATCATTATCTTGTTATCGCTCTTTAGTCAATTATGTCAATATTCTCAAGCATATCAACAAGTCTCTTGGAGCTGATTTCTCTTTCATGCATAATTACGATCCTTTTCTCACGCAGCGGTCGCTTCGTCCTATTATGGGTGACTCTGTTCGCGTCACTCATCCGGTGACTGTTGATATTCTTTTGAATATTTTTTAACATTTCGATTTTTCCTACCAGTTACATATTTGCCTGCATGCTCTATTTCTAGTTGCTTTTTTTCTTTTCTTCGTATTTCCAATTTAGTGCCTTATGCTTCAGCCGACTGTCATGCCGATAACGCTTATTTTCTTAAGCGCACAGATGTCTATTTTACTGCTTCGGGCGCTGTTCTTAGAGTTCACAGGACCAAAACTATTCAATTTAAACAGCGCGTTTTAGATATTCCATTACCTTTTATTCCCAATTCTATTTTATGTCCTGTCACAGCTCTCAAGAAATATTTTTGTACAGTGCCCGCATTTTATAGCTCGCCCTTGTTTATTGTCCATCACGGCAGGTCGCTCAAACCTATTCTCGCCGCACATTTTAATCAGTTTTTCAAATCATGCATTTCCACAATAGGTCTCGAGCCAGATAGTTTTTCATCTCGCAGTTTTCGTCAGGGTGGTGCTACTTTTGCTTTCAATTGCGGCGCTCCGACTGAATTTATCAAGGCGTAGGGAGATTGGCACAGCGATGCGTATTTAGTTTACCTCAAATTATCGACCAAGAAGAAACTTGACATTTTGCAGGCCATTTCCGCTCGTCTCTCCGGTTTAGCCTTTTAACTTTTTTTCTTTTTCCATCCATTCCCCCCCTTTTTTTTTTCCTACTCTTGGGTTTGGGGTTTCTATTTTATTGCCTATGGTTTTCAATAAATCGGTTTTTGCCCCAACTCGTGCGTCTCTTGGTGTTTACACTAATTTGGTTGTTTTGGCCCTGTCAAAAAAAAGTAATTAGGGGCACCCCCTCGCGTGGCATTGTCGTTTGGCACTCGCATCAAGTTTCTTCTAGGTCATATCTGGTTAAGCATCAGTTCGAAGGTCATTTGCGGTCCATCCTCGCTAGTTTTACCCTCCCTACCCTCCCTGGTTTCTATTTTATTGCCTATGGTTTTCAATAAATCGGTTTTTGCCCCAACTCGTGCGTCTCTTGGTGTTTACACTAATTTTTGACCTGTTAAATGATTCTCGAAAAACTGAAGAGCAAACTGAATCCCAACCAGCTCCCTCCAAGTGGAAGACTTAAACGAGGACCAATTTCAATTTCAATGACAAACCAGACTAGAATCTTGAATAAAAGCACTACAACCCGTAGAAGAAGCATCCGAAAACAAAACTTTGAATGATACCAAAGGAAGCAGCCAGAACAGCTTACCATTTAAGGATTTTAAATTGTCTTCCGAGAACCTCCGAGAACCTCTGAATTCCATGAACGCCTCGAATTGATGACAATATGCAAAAATCTAGTCATAATTTGGGTGACGTTCCCACATTTCTGTGCTAGTGAAATAATTTGACCGACAATTGATGCAATCTTCTTAACATGAATGAAAGGGGAAGTGTTTAAATTGGCAAAGACGGTGTTCAGATCAGAACACATTTTGTTGATCCTAGGATCAACTGCAAGTATGAAACCTCTCAGAGTGTCAGTATGAAAACCTATCCATGAAAAGGTGCTGGAGGGCTGCCAGACAGATTTATCGTGATTTATGCCAGAACCAAAGTGAACGAGATCAGAACGAACCAAAAGACTACTAGTTTTTGCTGCCTCCAGAGAAGAACCAGCACCAACCCTGTCATCAAAAAATACAGCTATAGCAATGCCTCGCGCTCTCCAGTGGATCTCCAGGGACTTCAACAATTTATTGAAAATATAAGGGGCCAAAGAAATCCCACAGGGATTATGTATGACAGGTGCCAAACTCACATGTAAAGGCCAAAAATCTGCGATGCTTGAGGAAAATAACCACCTGGTGATATCCTGACTTCAAATCAAAAGAGAAAACGAAATAACCCTAGGAAAAGCGTCCCTGGTCGTATGAAGGCCTCAGCACTTAAACTTCTGTTTAAAAACGTGCAAATTGGATGCCTTAAATTCAGGATAAGCCCCTTCGGGGACAAAAGGGGCAGTGAAAAAGGGGATGGAAGGAAGGGAGAACCGCTGGGAGAGACCACAGGAAGGATAAGTACAGATGAGACCAGATAAGGAGGCTATACTTCAAACTGCGAGAAAACAGGCCGCAGGTGTGTGGGAAAGGATGACAAATTGATAATGGGATTCTCCTTATATACGTTACAATGAGACTTCAAAGTAGACAGACTGCAAATCATCTTGGTTGCTAAAAAATATATATCTACGCGTTGCAACTGTTCATCAGTAGGGTGCCTAAAATGCGTGCAATTCCACAATTTGTTTCGGCTCCATTAAATCCTATACCAATTGCAGAATATTTTAGGAGGAGCCACCCACCATGTGAGCACAGTCACGGACAATGTATAAGTGAGGAAAATAACGCAAAGTAAAATTAAGACGTTAATTAACGAACTAAATGTACACGTCAAATAAAATAAACAAATAATGCGCGCGCTCAAAATAAAATAGTACGCGCACACGTACCGAGATACAACTGAAATACAACACTATGCAATAAATAAGTAGGATTGCTAATCGCATCTCCCGCAGGGCTGCACCATACTTCTCGACGATAAGACCAGGGCAACTAAAGAATTTATTAAATGATTTCTGAAGTAGATTGGTTTCAAAGCCTTGCTGTCTGAGTCGTAATGAAAGACCACGGAGTCTATTGATGAAGTCAACTTTGGACGTGCAAATTCTAGCATATCTTTCCAGTTGAGATATATAAACACCGTAAGCTGGATTGGCGGGAATGTTGCTGTCCATATGAGGAAAGTTGACAATCCGAAATGCAAAGTCCTCTCTCTTATCGTAGATGCTGATACGGAAAGGTGTGTTGTCGCCAGTCTTGATATTAGTGTCGAGATAACACACTTCAGTAGATGATGTGGAAGTGTCTTAAGTTCCAATTCTGACGGGTAAATTACGCTGATGTAATTTCAAAAGTCCACATTGTTAGCACTGAATAAATCGTCGATGTACCGAAAGTTGTTACTGAATTGGATGGCTTTTGTAATATCCTGTTTCATTGTTGTGACCATGAAATCGTACTCGAAGGTATGAAGGAAGAGATCAGCCAATAAAGGTGCACTGTTGGTGCCCATTGGTATACCAATAACCTGCCGGAAAACAGAGCTTCCAAAACGAACGTAGATGTTGTCGATAAGAAAGTCAATAGCGAGACAAAGCTCTCTACAGGAGAAGTACGTGTACCTCGTTGACGTTCTATCATTCGTCCAGAAGGTGCGAAAGTTATTGGTAGCATACTGACAATAGTGAACTATTTTCAACTAATTTACGTAGTGCGAACAGGACCTTTTTAGACAGAAAACTTTATCAGATCTTATTATCAGAAAATATTTTCTGTCCCGAACGTCGGGGAGACAGTGATTTGTTTGTCACAACATTTTATTTCGTTTTTGACCAGTCGCCTTAATAATTTCTTCCCAAACATTGCCCGCTTTAAATTAAGCCAAAAAGAAGACGAATACAATTTCTGTCCCCGTCAATCACACTTATGTGCGTCTCCCGAGAAAGGTCTTGTACTTCACCATTCCAATTTCCCTGAAGATCTGTGGGTGCCTGGGACATCTTCCATGTACTCTGAATTAGACATATCCACAAGTTCTGACATTTTGAGTCACCCTTTTAGTGTCGATCCAACATTCCGTCTGGGCAAGTTTGAAGTAACCCCTGTGGTGTTCAAAAATCTTCTACTCAAAGCTGAATCAGTTTAGTTATGTGGGCAACCGAGCTCGATACAAATCTAAGCGAACAGGAGGAAATCCGATCTTCCTAGGTCCAACAGTGATCCATCACAGTAAGTTTGAGGCAACCTATCAGATGTTGGCCACCACGTGCGTCAGGAAATGCAGTAGTCTGACTAATGCAAAAGGCTTTATTACCGACCGAGAAACAGCCCTCCAAAATGCATTTCAATTTCATTTACAGTTGAAGCATTCGCAGAGTCTCCGATGCTTCAAACACTTCGAGAAAAATTGCAAGAATAAATTGAGGGACTTAGGCATAAGAGAAAAGGATCAGAAGTACGTTTTGCCGAAGACGTTTGGAATTCGTGGGAAAGAGGAAGGGATCATTGACGCAGTAGACGGCAAGGACCTGCAGAAATGTTTGAGATCCGCACAAAATGAAGTAGATGAACAAGAACGACTGACCCTTGGTAAAGACGAGCAGTACGCCTCCAAGTATTGGTCTTACCTGAATGACAATAGAAAGATGATAAGGAGACTTATGGTAGCCGATGTAAGGAGAGAGGCCGGTCTGATGGAAGGGAAAAACGCAAAGGTGTTACACCAACTGTTCGGAATCGATGAACAACATAATGAAAGCAGCAAAGAACACCTTTACTAACGAAAGCAGTACTACTCATTTAACTAAACTCCAATTTACTTGGCACGTGTTTGAAGCAGTACGTGATCATCAAGTTGAAGAATTTCATTCTTCAGTGGCTGGAGTAAGCGACGAGTATGTCCCGGCTGACCTGGTGTATGACATTTGCAGACTGCAGACTGCATAAGGTAGCAAGACTGTAAATTGAATGAAATTGAAAGCAAAAATATCGTCATAAAGATGGCGTCATCATCAACATTACCTTAAGTACATGTAAGGCCTAGAGGCGAAGTTTACATTTTTCACGCAAATTACACCGACCTCATCCCTGAAGGAATTGTTGGCTGTTCTTCTCGTATTGAATTAGTGCAAAATAAGGTCTGCCGATGTCACAAACTCACTCATGAATCCATAGCAGCAGGCTAGCAATCTAGAGTGCACCACAGACGAAACTAAACTCTGGTTATATAAGTCTGTCTGTGAAACAGACAGACATTAGTGGGCATTGCTACTTGTCATTATCAATTCACAATAATCAAAGAAAAATAAAGAATCAACGCAATTAGTGATAGGCGATTGGTCGAAAGCAAAAGCGTCAAAGAAGGAGACAAATCGCTTTTACCATACTGCAATAAGAGATTCCCCTATTTCAGTTGGGATTATGTTGAAATTCCGTCCCATGTCGCTGATTCTTTGAGTGAATCGCACAGAAAGTATCTCAGGAGCGAGTTTCAAGATGCTTTTGTAAAATTTAAACAGTCAGAACATTTTTTGTGAGTGGCCATAATGTAACCCCTTTCTCGTTTGAAATTTTAACTTCCAAACGTTTCACGAGAAATTATATTTTCCTGTAGGTATGAAAAAATATATCCCTCCGATCTGGAGCAGTGTGAACGAAACTCTGGTTTCTCCGCGTTTCCAATGCGGCGTTTATTCGTGGGTGCCATTTATTTCGAAATCGTTTTTTAAAAATAAATGACAACAGTTAGTATACTGAATCGTTTGTAAATATTATGTAATTTAAAAGTTCACCAATGTCTCCCTAATTTTGCTGAGATAGAATCGTAAATGTCTGGATGGTGTAAATTACCAATCTGTACCGAGCTTTTTCCTATTATCCTCAAGAAAACGCCTCATTCCTTTGAATAGGTGCGGCGTTTATTCGAGGGCGTCACGTTTATTCGAATTCATACGGTATTTGTTTGTTTGTTTGTTAAATCGAAAACCTGGATTTAACGAATTTTTGGAAATCAACCAAAATGGTCGTTTTGCAGAGGTATAGTATAGAGGGGGGTCTTCGTTTTCTACACACCGGGGGGATTGTGTAGAAAACGAAGACCCTGGTCAAAATTTTGTATAACTGGAAATCGTCAGGAGCCGTGTTGTTTCTTACACTCCTTTAGTGTCTAGAAGTTGTGAAAAGCAGTTTCCAGCCGTTTCCAAGTGATTTTGATGGGGGGTCTTTGTTTTCTACACACCGGGGGGATTATGTAGACAACGAACACCCTGGTCGAAATTTTGTGTAATTGAGAATTGTCAGGAGCCGTGACAATTCTTATACTCCTTTAGTGTCTATAAGTCGTTAAAAGCAGTTTCCAGCCGTTTCCAAGTGATTTTGAGGGGGGTCTTCGTTTTCTACACACCGGAGGGATTGTGTAGAAAACGAAGACCGTGGTCTAAATTTTGTATAATTGAAGATCTAAGGTCGAGATACCCGTTTCTAGATATTTATAAGTGATTTTGAGGGGGTCTTCGTTTTTGGGTCTTAGGTCCTAGGTCTTCGTTTTCTACCCACCCTCCCGAATATTGATAAGTTATTGATTTAATTTTTATTGTCTTACGTTAAACCGCAAGATGACGTTGGGCGCTTTCCATTCAACCCAAAATTCCGGTAATTTCGGTTGGTACATCAAATGGAACGGACCATTTCGGTTTGGTCCTACCGGAATATTAGGGACCAGCTTTGAACGTGGTCCTCTTTGACCGGTCGGACCGGTCGAACCGAAATTTCCCTTTCCATTTGACAAATTTATCGTTCCCAGTACCTCTCTCCCGTACCCTGCTTTCAAAAACAAAATGGCGGAATGCAGTGATTCAATGTACGAGTGCTCCATCTGTTGAAACAGACGCACAGATTTAGAAGTACTATTGATGCATAGTTGCTCATCGATATCAGGTGGGTTACTTTATAATGACTTGATCACTGTTTCAGTACCTTTTAAAATTTCTTTATTCGGCGTGAGCTATTGCTTCCTAAATAATTTCGCGCGCTTTTCTCGATCAACTTTGTTTTCAGATGTTGGAACCGATTCGTTACCGAACTCAATTGAAGAAAGCTTAGTAATGTCAGTAATATCACCAGCTCCTTCCTCTGACACAAGTAATAAGCGCAGAAGCCTTGAGAAGTGGGAGGACAAGCATGTCTGCCTACTCGTTAAGAGTTACTTGAAATATAAAGATCTATTTGGTAAGCCTCAGCAGAGCAAGAAGAAAGTGTTCGAAAAAATAGCTGAAGAATTCAATCGCACCTCCGATGTTGTTGTTACTGGAGATCAGTGCTTTCGGAAATTTAAGAAACTAGAGTTGAAGCAAAAGGAAATTGAAGACAACAACAGTAAGACCGGAAGGGAGAAAAAAACCTGGAAGTTCCACAAAGACATGGAAGACTACATGGGAGACAACCCAACTGTTAAGCCCGTCTTTACATTTAACACTTCTTGAGGTAGTTCCTCCTCATCCTCTACACAGTCTTCAACTGATGAAGGATTGAATTCAGATAGTAGTGATTCCGAAGAGAGAGAAGGATGCAGTTCCTCAAAATTGAAAAGGCCAAAAAGAAAAAGAAAGTCCAAGTCATCAGCATCTGAAATGCTTGATTTTTTGACGGACTATACAGCAAAAAGGGAAAAAGTTGAAGAGGAAAAAGTAAACATTCTAAAAGCAATGCTTTTTCGTTCCTCAAAGATTCCAAAAAGGGGTGAGTATCTCTTGAGGAACAGCATTGGTCAGAATAT